GATTCCATAAAATATGTTATTAAAATTAATTGTTAACTTTAATTTAAATTAAAATTAAAATTTCAATCGATACCAAACGTGATTTTATAAAAAAAAATATCAAAAGTTGGGGGCACATGCCCCCAGAACCCCCGGGTCCACCCTTGGTTGGGGTCGTAAATGTGATTAAATAATGAATGTGGACCACAATGCAACAAGTTGTAATGTTTGAGGACTGTGGTTGAGAAATTCCCTATTGATGATAACAAAGGATTTTCCATGCTTTGTGATACTGCCTATTTGGTTGGAATTAAAATTCAATTAAAATTTTAAGTCAAAATCAATCATTAATTTTAATCACATATTTTATTGGATCCATAATTTTTCTACAAAGTTCATCAACTTTTATGAAAAATTATTAATATTTTGATTTTAACATCTACCAAACTGAGGCATAATTACACGTAAGAAAGTCATTATGTTTATGGCTTTGGTTGAATAATACGTAAATTAAGGAAATTATTGGTTTTTTACTTTTTATGCGTGCCATGTATTTCTATTTATGATAGGATCAAGTACAGTGTCTTTCTGATTTTCTATACAACAACAGTTAACGTATTCCGAAGTCGTGAAAGTTCTACTTTCGTATGAATCTGCTAACGTACGCTACTAGTGCACGTGCCACCAATATAAGAGCCACGTCACTTATATGATGACACATCGAGTGCCTACTAGATCCGGTGGCCAAAACCTATCCTCTCTTTTAGTGTATAATAGAGAGAGAGAGAGAACACAGTGAAATTGTCAGTGCGTGAATCCATCTCCAATACATTTCCCAACCAGAGGAAAACCAATGGGGGAGGTACCTGTATTTACATATATTACGTACACTGTAAAATCTTGATTTTTTGCTATGAAACTGGTGTATTTTGTTTATTTTTTGTGTTGCAGGAAGAAAAGAAACCAGAGGAAGCGAAGAAGCCCCAGGAAGAAGTGAAGAAAGGAGAAGCACCAAAAGCTGATGAGAACCCGAGTGAGGAAAAGAAAGAAGAAAAGAAATCTGAGGAATCCAAAGAGTCGGCGCCGCCACCGCCTCCACCGCAAGAAATCATCCTGAAAGTCTACATGCATTGTGAAGGTTGTGCCAGGAAAGTCCAAAGATGCCTCAAAGGCTTCCAAGGTAATTAGAACTTTTTCAGATTTTAAAATGTTGTGTACGAATGAATAGAAGGGAAAAGAAAAGGATTTATATAGTTGATCCTAAATTTATTTTGCAGGGGTAGAGGATGTAATAACAGACTACAATACGAGTAAGGTGATTGTGAAAGGTGAAAAGGCAGATCCAATTAAGGTTTTGGAAAGGGTTCAAAGGAAGAGCCACCGGCAGGTGGAGCTTCTCTCTCCAATCCCAAAACCGCCGGCGGAAGAACCTAAGAAACCGGAAGAAAAAGAGGTGGCTAAAGCCGAAGAGAAAAAACCGGAGGTTTGTATTTTTTTAAATTTTATTTTAATTATTTTAAAGAATTTTTTTGTTGTTTGAAAAATAATTGTATTTTTTTTAGCCTCCGGTGATTACAGTAATCTTGCATGTAAACATGCATTGTGAGGCTTGTGCTCAAGAAATCAGAAAGAGAATACAGAGAATGAAAGGTAACTTCATTTTTTTCTTTAATTTTATTTTAAACTTTCACTATAAAAAAAAATTATTTATTTTAATTTTTTTAGATACAGATATAGTAATTATTTTTGTGCTTTTGTTGCCCTTTTCAGCTGTATGTGCAAAAATAATTGTATTCTTTATTTTCATCAATAGTGATTATATATTGAGGTCAATTCAAACTGTATTTTAATCAAGATTAATTCCTCAAGAATCTTTATACAGTTTTTGGCATAGACGGATCATTCGTGAACTTGCAATTGCTAGCAAAAGCGTATAGTCGACCCCAAATATATTGTCAAGTCAATCAGAGTATATTATGTACTGCAAATCCCAAACGAAGTAACTTGACATAACTCATAAGTTAGCTGAACGTGCTTCTTAGCTCTTAGATAATATATTAATATGTTAATTAACATGGTAAAGTTTTGATTTGTAGGAGTGGAAAGTGCAGTGCCAGACCTAAAGAGTTCACAAGTGACAGTGAAAGGTATGTTTGAGCCTGCAAAACTCGTTGATTATGTATACAAGAGAACGGGAAAGCACGCAGATATCATGAAGGTGGAGCCGAATAAAAAAGAGGACGAAAAAAAGAGAGATAAAGATGGTAAAGACGAGAAGAAGGCCGAGGACGAGAAAAAGGAAGCCAAGAAAGGTGTTGAAGAGGTGAAAGGAAACAAGGAAGAAGGAGGTGGGCCAGGTGGCAGCGACAATGGTGGCGCTATCAGTGGTGGTGGTGGTGGTGAAGAACCACCGGCTAAACCCGAGGCCGAACCCGAGGATGACACTAAATTCGAGTTGAAAAAGAATGAATTCTACCATTATAACTACCCTCAAAACTATCAGATTCAACCTCCAAGATTTGTCCAAGAAAATATTGAATTTGAATATGCTCCACAGATCTTCAGTGATGAAAACCCTAATGCATGTTCAGTTATGTAAAATTTGGGATTAACAAGGGGTGGGGTGAGGGGGCACATGGATAACTGTTCCATGGCCTCACTCTTGACATGTTGTTGTGCTCTACATGTGGTCATGTCTCGGTTTCATAGTATAAATCTACAGAAAGCTGTAGAATGTTGGACCTCTTCGTTTTTGTT